GTCCACTGATGACTATTCAATATAAAATACAATACTTTAAACTACTCGATTTCTACCAACAAGTTTAAAACAAAAACTATTATATTATTTCAAACTATTTGATTCTATTTACAAGTTAAAAACATACAATATCTAAATTTAGAACATATATACAATTTACTATGAAAACCAAATATAGTTTACAACAATATACAACGAATGTTCCGCACATAGTGCGCGTGAGAATCTAGTATTTTTTATTATCGTATGTTATTAAACACATACAGACATAATATATCAAAAGCATAATCATATCCTGTTTAGATCGGTAATCGTAAAACTATAACACAAACTAACCAATCTCATTTCTATTAGTTTAGTTTGGTCCCATTAAACTATACAACTTAAATTAATCTAAAATATTAGCAACTGGGAAAATGCAAGAGTCATTACACTTATTCAAAAGCCAAAAACGAATTTACCTAGAACCTACGAAGAGGAAGAAGACGTGAACGCCACTTCTCTCTCACTCACTCTCTCAATATATATATAAATACGTCCTCGTCGCTGAGATCGAGTCTTTTCTTCTCTCTTTATCTCTTCCCATTACAAAACAAGAAGATGTTAAAATCCGCATCATGTCATACTTCACAAGAAATGAAGGAGCGATTGTGTTTGCGTTTGTGAGCATCGCGTTTATAACGTTTTACTGCGTCAATTACTTTATCCGGCGGTGCAGAGACGACAGAGCCAGCGCTTCTGCCTCCGGGGACACGGCTGATGCTGAATTAAGTCCGAGGAGGCCACCGCGAGGGCTTGACGCTGAAGCCATTGGTTCGTTCTCTTCATTCGTTTACACAGACGCTAAAGGGATTGATCCAGGAAAAGACGAGCTAGAATGTGCGGTTTGTCTGAACGAGTTCAAGGACAAGGAAACGCTGCGTTTGGTATCACCTTGTGGGCATGTGTTTCATGCTGATTGTGTGGACATTTGGCTCTCGTATCGTTTCACGTGTCCTATCTGTCGTGCTGATGTAGTTCCCGAATCGAAGGAAGTATAGTCCAAAAGACGGAATATAGCATGCATATGCTTATCCCATTAAATATTGTTTCAGTTTTACGTGCTGTAGGTCCGAATGTGGTGCATTTTACAAAGTATTGATTTATGTATATAGATGTATATTACTGTCTTGTTTTTTTTTGTTTTGTGAATTCAAGCCGTATATACATATATGTATAACATATTAACGAAAAAGTTATGGATTTTGTCAATAATCTTTTGAGTACAAGAGACCACAACATGTTACACTATTATTCATTATCTACCGTTGAGATTAGAACTTGTGATCTTGAGACCCAATATTTTGATTCTAGTTAGTCATGTGAGCGAGTGGTTATATAGCAGGAAATAGATATATGCTATTAATTCTTCTTGGTCCATCACATCCCATTGAAGACGTAAACAGAGAATAATTCAACCTCTTTTGTTTTAGTCTTCCAATTGTCTACTAGTAGTAGATTAGGTCAAAACTTTAGGAAAAGTCTACTAGTTGCGTAGTCACAAGTTAATAGAGAGGACATGACTGGAGTTGTACTTGTTCTACGTCTACGGTGATGGTAAAGTAAAGACTTCTTCAAAGTCAAAACGTCGGAAGAAAAAGCCAAACCAATCATTCGGAACAAACACAAATCTAACATAGTAGTAAAACATTATTTTGTTGTCGTGACGGGCAAATCTTATTGATCTACGAATCAGAATTCGTTTAGGATAACGACC